CCGCAGCCCGGCCCCCCGCCCCGCCGCCTGCAGAGCTCACAGGCTTCCTGCGATCAGCACCGCTCGTTTTCCCGGCGAGCCAGCAGCTCTATTTCCCCCTTTTCTAAACCGAAGCTAGAGCAGCCGTTTGCTTTCCTCGTGTGTTTTAAAATAACAGAGCAAGGTAATGGTACTGCATTTTACTGCCCGGCGCGGAAGAGCAATCACCCTGCCAGGGTTGCATGTCCCACCCACATGCTTTAGGAAGTCACCTGCACGTTCTTGAAGGCAATTCCTTGCAGGGGTTGCTTAAGAAACGCAGGCGAGGAGCAAGTAAGATATTCTCAACTCACTACAAGTCCCTCGGCGTTAGACACTCGCTCGTGGGCTCCCAAACTCTACAGCAAACTCCCTTGACACCTACCAAAGGCCACAGCATGCAGAACGTGGTCTTTTGCCTGGACTGCACAAAACCGTTGTAGCTGCAAGGTCACCTTAATCTAGAGGGCTCACACCTCAGCTGCACTGAACATAGAAGCGTATGTACAAGAGGTGGGGATTTGTCATTAAACGGCTGGCTGTGCAGCTGAAACTGGCTGAGTAAGCACAGGAGCCTAGGGCAGCGTCTGGAGCGCTTTGCAGGGCCTGAATGGTAAGCATCTCCCCATCTCGGTCAGACTCCCTTCCCCCCAGTCACAGTCTCCCTCTGCTTCTCCACTTTTAAAGGGGAAGTTAGTGAAGGAGGATGTGTCACATATTTCCATTCAGCTGAACAGATCTGCTGGATCTCATCAAGAAAAGCAACTTGTGTGCTGCCATAGATGTCTTCAGCGCAGCTCAGAAAAGTCTCAGCTTCTCACATGTCAGCTGGGGTTCAGTTAGCACTGCTCCCTCAGCTCCACCCCATGCCAGCACTCCCATGCTCTCGTTTAATATCCTCAGGGGTCAGCTGAAGTGCAAATCAGGAGAAAAACTTACCTTAACAAAAAGTTTTCTGGTAGTTTCACACAGTGAATCAGCTCACCCAGAGGTTAGATCAGTTAGATGAGCATCAGTGCCAGGAATTAGAAGCTGTGGCAGCACCGGCACAGATCAGTTAAAACTCGCAGAACGCACCCAGATGCATACTGTGAGTCTGGGCCAGCTCATTGTGAACTACGCGCTCGCCACTGCAGGAGCACCCTTTCCCAAAGGGATACAGTGGTTACTTGAAGAATTAACACAATCTTCTCTTTGGCTTGCTCATTGACCCCCTTTTTATCTCCGTACACTTATCCCCTTTACTCATCACCACTGCGGTCAGTCTGCCTATGCTCATCCTTCCCCTCCCGAAAGGGGAAAGTAAGGATGGAAGAGGTTATCTGAAAGAACTGAGGCAGGACAAGTGCTCTGCTGAACAGGAACAGCTGGCAACACCTGGGATTTATTCTTTTTGAAGCTGACAACGTCATTAGCATAGTAAGAGATTGAGAGCTACCGTACACTACAATCATTTAGGAGCAGGCATGTTTATTAAGGGAGAAAATGACAAGGCACCAGTAATTACAGATATAAATGGAGACAATGATTTAAAGCCATGGTATAGGACAGATTAGTGCTTGACCAGCAGCTAGTTAGGCAGGTTTCAGCGTAACGCCTTTCCAGTAGGCAAGCAAAAGCAGCTCACTGGCATTACCTGCAAAGCACACTTCAGTATCATTTCACTGGAAGAGTGAAAGAGGCTCTTGGAACAGGAAGGACACTTGTTTTGGCCTCAAACTGCTTGGCACTTTTAGGATGACTGACATCAACTACCCTGACAATTGCTATTCACCTCTTTAAGCAGGTGAGCGTTTCCAGGAAAACACCTCCACTTGTATTTAAATGGGTATTTGCATACACAGTATTGCTTCCTATACGCTACCAGCTGACAACAGCAGAGTTTGCTAGAGCATATGCAGGTCATAATTCACAAGTGCAACTGGGTATGCAAACAGCTAATTGACAAGAGGCCCAGCTGAAGCGCTCACCCTGCATTCAAAAGTATGCATTTAAAAGTTTCCCTGAGGGAAAAGCTTCATATGTGAGTAGCCAACAACAGCAAGCACTGGAACAGACTTTGTTCATGTGCGGTGTGTTCCAATATGCAATGACTCACAGCAAGTTAAATGACGATACTTAATGATACTTTTAGTCACATTTCTTTTAACTCCCACAACAACAATATATTTATAAGCACGACCCTACCAGAAACAAAGAGAACCAGTGTCCTCTACTACAAATTTGCGAGGGTGGGTGAGAAATTCTCTCCTAAAAATGAACGAGTAATTAAATATTAGTACCTTTTAGAAACCATGAATCAATTCAAACAATCCACGATCTGAGCATTTAATAAGAGTGGTGATTCTACTACCACAAGTTTTTTTGCCACAAGTAGGGCAAAAATAACAGACACAAACAACTGATAAAATTTTTTTTTATTATTCACTTTTGAATTCTTTTACACTTTCCTGATTATTTTGTGTAAGGTGAAACTAGAACTGTTTAAAAGACATACACAAATCTAGTACATCAATAACCAGGTATTTCTTTTTGCTATACTATTCTCACAACCACGTGTGTGCTAGGCAATATAACCGTCACAGAAGCAAACTTTAGGCAGAATACTGGTCAGTAAAAACAAAGCGAAAAGAGCTACCAGATATACAGACAGGCTCGGTTCCACATTCACTACTGCATTTATCAAGCGCCAAGTATTAACTGCACAATTTGTTCAGCTAGTAGAGGGGAGTTTTAAAATCAGTGCATGAAATTCTCTCTTCAGCAGACAGATGGACAGACAAACAGATGGATCCTATATAGCTAAGTGGAATGTTAAGGTAGAGGGATGATACCACGAGACTATTCCTAATCTTTTCCACTGCATTATTCACGCAACTCTTCTTAGGTTTTATTTAATGGGACATGTTTGAGAACATAAGTAGGTGAGGATATTCAGAGCTCAAATATCACAAGTTACAAGCATTACAAATGTGTAAGGTCTGCATTCCAGTACAATAAATGGGAAATCCTGAATGTTTGAGCCAGATTCCTGTATTACCTGTAAGTGTCAGATAGACCTGTAAGTGTCAGATAGAAAGAGCCAAAGACTGCAACAGCACTGGCAGCTCTCAAGCATCCAAGAAAGACACCTGTCCACTAGCAGACTTAGGTCTCACCCCCCCATCCTGACATCGGCCATAACAACAAAAAAAAAAAAAAAAAAAGGATGAAGCATTATGTGGGAGTCCAAAATTGCTTTAATGAAGTTTAAACAGGTGAGAGGGTTGAGGATGAACAGAGTTTAATGGGAGGAAAACGTCTATAAAATGAACTTAAAGATGGCTCAGTGGAATATTTAAAAAGTTTTCAGGGTAACTTCAAAATGGGATTACCATGGAGATTTCAATTCACCTAAGAGTAAAGTAATGCAAAAGTGGCATATCACTTTATGGTAT